CACACACACACACACACACACACACGGAAATGTAGCTGAAGCCGGCAAAGCCCACAGCTGCCCACAACACTGCCCTTAATTCATGATGGCATTTATTGTTGTGAAATGATAGCAGAGAGGTGAAGCGGACATTTATTAAACACTTGGGAGGGCTGGGAAGGCTTTGTGGCTCGGAGTACGTTCTGAATAAAGTTTATGGAAAGAATACATTCACGAGGGAGCGAGTCAGCGCCCACATAAAGTGCAGTCTTGTTCTAAGGGGGCACGAGGGGGGGATGAGGGGGAATCCGATGCAATGAGGGCACACTTTTGTGGAGTCTAGGACCGGAGCCAGGAAGCAAAGGCGAGGGCTAAATGGCACACTGCTGAAGAGGCGTGCCTGGGGACAGGGCTGAGGGCCGCTTAATTAATGTGCGAAAGGACTCTGGAGGCAGGAACTCTCCAAGGTTTGCTGGCGACACAAAACTCCCAGGCGTAGCCCGGGAGAGGAGAGACAATGGGAAGGTCGCCTGCACCTGAAAAGGTGGGCAAAGGAGGGCCAGCGGAGGGAGCTCGAGGGAAGAGAGGTGACTCTAGGGATCAAATTCAAAACGATGCCTATGGAACGAAGACGGTGACATGACTGCTAGGACTCAGGGGAGTCCCTAGAAGTCAGTAGAGACTGTTCTGGAGAACGTCCGCCCAAGACAGTTCTACGGCCGATGAAATACTGGCGGTTCTGAGGAATCGCATGTGGACCATAGGGCACCTAATAGAGTGGCGCGGGGATAGACAGAATACGTGCGCAGCCCTGGCCCACTCTCAGTGGGCAGAGACAAGGTTCAAGCAAGGGCACTGAGAATCTGTGAAAGGCTGGTGATAAAGCTCAGCAAACAGGAGCAGGACTTTGATGAAGCCGGAATACCAAACAACATGTTAGTTAGCCCTGTGAGCAGACGCCACGCAGACCGGCCATCCAAGCTTGAAATTCTAAGGCTGACACTTGAGTAGGGTGAAATGTCATCCGAGGAAGGCCCCCCCGCTCTGCGTGGTGGTGAGGGCCATGCTTAGATCAAGATGGAGGTGATGACTGAATATGTCCAGTTGGATGCCATCCCAAGCCTAGCGCAATGCCTGACGTATAGCAGACAGGGCAACAAAACCAAACATTCAATCTGGAGGCCTTAGGCAATTCCTGACCCGGCAGTCTGTCTGCTGGAGGAAGCAGGGGGCTGTCTGTAGTCTAGGGGATCTGCTGGTGAGAACAAAGAGCTTGACCCCAGACTCCGCTCCAGTCTTCCATCTGCACCCCCCACAGCTTGAGAGGTGAGGTGAGATGAGCTCCTGCATTCATTCAGCAAGCATGTATTGAACGCTTACCACGTCTTGGACAGAGTGCTAAGCACTGAATAGGAAGAAGAATAAGGCAACATCCTGTTCTCGCGGAGCTCTGCGGGAGAGAATGGGAGTGCACCATCACCATGCTGAGATGCACTCTGAGAACTGGCTGCTGGGAGAAGGGTGCAGGCTGCGAGAAGGCTGGCATTAGGGGGCGTGGCAGTGGAGGGGCTTTGACAACTGTAAAGTACCTAAGTAACAGCAGGGTTGAACAAAGTACCACCAAATTAGTGATTTAACACACCCCAAAGTTATTATATTTTCTTTTTTCAAGGTTATTATCTTTTCACTTTGGTGGTCCTGTGGTCAAGATGGGTCTTATGGGGGCTAAGATGAATGGCTACCT